GCGGTTGAAACTATTCTCAGTGGCATTAGAAGTATGCAGTGGATACATTAAACATATCGCATAGCCATGTAAGAGTTTTCGCGTGTGCACGTCAAAGCTATCGCACGACAATGTATATCATAATTCAACTTTAACATGAATTATAAAATAAATGTCGCAGTCTTGGATTATTATGTGTAAGTTTACATGAAGCAAACAATTATTTATAAATATTATACTTTTGGAAGATTATTTATAAGTTAACATGAATGTAAATATCATGCATACAAATTGTATTGTAATGAATGATTTATTCTTGTACTGGAATAGTCGACATGTTAATCATGCATTCTTCTGAATCATATATTTATTTATTTCGCTCTTCATAATTTGTTTATTATCTTTAATCAAGTAGATTTACCCGTTTCACAGCAAATACAATTGTTTGATTCTCTCGTATCATCAACTTTAAATTACGCGGCGGAGGTATGGGGATCACACATCGCACCCGCTGTCGAAGTTATTCATAGTAAATTTTGTAGAAAAATTTTAGGAACTAAATTATCCACAAACCGAGAGGCGTTATATGGCGAACTTGGTCGAACACCTATGTATATTCAACGGAAAGTAATTATGATTAAATATTGGATTAAGTTATTATCGCTTCAAGAAAGTACTATCCTTTTTAAAACATATTCTATGTTAAGAATTGATGCTGACAATGGACAATCTTATAATGGTAAAAATTGGGCTTACACTATTAAACAAATATTAGATGAATCTGGATTAATATTTGTATGGGAAAACCAATATAGCATACAGATAGATTTTAAAGCAATTAAATTCAGAATTCTTAGTTTGTATTACGAACAATGGTATACCTTGATAAATAATTCACCTCGTCTTGATACATACAGTTTATTTAAACATACTTTTGATTTAGAAAAATACTTAAGTGTAATTAAAGAACCAAAGTATAGAATAGCCTTATCTAGATTCAGAACATCGTCACACAATTTAGCTATAGAATATGGAAGATATCGTAATATTCCAAGAAATGAACGTTTTTGTGAAAATTGCCAATTTATTCAAATAGAGAATGAATATCATTTTTTACTTATTTGCCCGAAGTTCGCCGATTTGAGAAAAAAGTATCTTAAACGGTATTACTACACATGGCCGACTAAGCAAAAGTTTATCAATTTAATGTCTGAATCATCGTTAACTGTAATTAATGGTTTAAGCAAATTTATATATCATGCTAACACTTTAAGAAATTAATCCTATCAAATGTGATCTGTATTTTATTCATATGATTGTAAGGCTCTTCTGAAAAAATCCATGTACTTGTGTTGTTTGTGTTTATATATTTTGTACTTGCTATAAACATGTATTTGTTTAATGCAATAAAATTTTGAAGTTGAATTTATTCGTGCAATCTAGTAGCACTTAGTGCTAAACTTATACGTTGACACCGCCCATTGTATTACTAATATGGGTCATTTTTGTAAAGTCAATTATTTATTCAATTACGTGATATGGCAGTTGTCGCGACAAACTTATAGTATTGCCAAACATTAATGAATTGGATAATTCAAATACAATATATATACTATATTATACTATATTAGTATACATAGTATTATTATAATAATTAATAAAATTGCATTATGAAAGTCATAGAACAGTATCTTGTTTTACAAATAATCAATTTATCAACTCACTTAAAGTAGCTTGGTGTAATGATAAAAAACACTTACACTGACTGATATTGGATAGAACTTTTTGGTCTGGATGTGTAAAATTTCAGATCATTCGCTCACTCGTTTTTCCCAAGAATTATCATTTTATTGTGTAAATGGACCTAAAAATGATTTTTTTTATTTCAGTTTGGGCTAAGAATATATAAAAACAATCAACTTTCAATTTAATTATGAGTGTATTATCTTTTGCACTTTTTACTGTCACTATACTAGAGCCCCGTTTGATATTTGCAAGAGTATTTTGGCTTTTGGACCTCAAAATGCTTCTTTTATGAATATTATAAATTATAGAATTCATAACTCCCACTTCACGATAAGTATAACGTGCTTAGCTGTATATAACAATAGTTTCTGAATGTTAAAATGTTATAATTCAAACATTTATACTTTAATTACGTTTTTTACTTGACTTATCGTTAAATATAATATCGAAGATCATGGAAACTATGAAGTGCTTTTTGCAACAAGGCATTCTCGGGCATTATACTGAAATAAACCGTGATATATCTATTTTTAGAAAATAAAATATAAGTACCTTGTAGGAATGATAATTTAAAACACCATTTTTGTTCCAGAACTAGGTGGACTTCTTAAATTCCACAATGATAGTAAAGAATGTATGTTGCAGTTTTGACCTATTGTCACTGACTTACGACGAATACTTACAAATACACATATTTCATGGATGAATTTCAAGTTTTATGAAAATGAAAAAGAATCGACAAAAGTTAATTGTCATCGGACAAGTTTAAAGCAAAACAAAATTAGCTTGGTGTATATATCTTATAAATTTATATGTTAAAATAATTACAAACGTTCATACTTTTTTGCTTTTTATCATATAATATCAAAATAATAACTGTTCCGATTATTTGACAAAACTGTTACACTTTCTATTTTCAGAGAAATGTCATAGAACGCAGATGGAATGAATAAACAATTCCTCTAATAAATTTATTCTTGTTTACAATTTACATGATTGTGCCAAGGCGGAAATATGATTTCTTCCCTTCACCTGTTAAAATAAGACAAAAACTCTACATCTGTTATAACTTTATAAATGTCTTAATGATGCATAGGTAATAGATTTTTTATCCACGAAGGTTTTCATCAATATTGAAAAAAAAGTACTTGTTTAACATAAAAAGTGGTATACACATTTTATCATTGATAATTTTTAGAAATCTTAACTAACAATGTATTACATCATTGATACATAACCAGTATCTGTAACTTTTTAGTGAATATCTCATTTGTAAAACTTCAAATTTAGCCCCACAATCAAACATAAAAGAACTTGGTTTTTTCAGAACATGAAAGATAGCTTTGAAGTAAATTTGTTTGATATTTTGCTCATGATAAATTGTTAAATGATTGAAAACAAGTTTATTGTAAATGTGATGGTTAACATATTGACTTTAAACAATAAAATATTCAATGCTTTTGTCATTTTCAACACCAGTAATTTACAATCAATTTCAGTGTAAGTATTGTAAGTATTTTTGCTATTTTGATCTGAAGCACAATGTTTTCTGACAGAAATTTCTCTACCTGTATATAGGACAAATAGATTAAAACCAACACAAACTTAGACATCAAAACATGTTTCGCTTTATTAGCTTCGTCAGTTGATATTGATATACCTGTATATTGCAGCCTATGATAGTGGCACGGCCGAGGGGTTATCGCGCCGGACTAGTTACTAGTTATATAAGAACTGTTGTGCTTATGGGTTCAATCCACGTCAGAGACAATCTGTCGTTTCCTTGAGCAAGAAACATAAAATGAGACGCGTCATGACAAAACCAACATAGTGCGTTGGCGACCAGCATGGATCCAGACCAGCCTGCGGATCCGCGCAGTCTGATCAGGATCCATGCTGTTCACTTACCAACCCTATGACAAATAGAGAAACTGATAGCGAACAGCATGGATCCTGATGAGACTGCGCGGATGCGCAGGCTGGTCTGGATCCATGCTGGTCGCAAACCCTTTATGTTGGTTTTGTCATACGCGGCTCAAATGCATTGCGTAGTACTGGCTATTAGTTCCAGGAACAAATTTGGGAGTGTATAAGCTTATAGCTTCCTACACTATCGAACTGAATAAGTACCGAATACACTAATTGCAACCTAGCTTCTAATATAAACACCTTTTTTCTGTTGATTAATTAACCTGAACTGATAAGTGATTATCCTATACTCTAGATACTGGAGACCCCTGGACCAATAAAAAGATAGTCTGAAATATTTTCACAAAATCTGTAAATAAAATTATGTTATAAGAAGTAAAAAAATCATGTTGAAGTCTTGTGTATATTAAACAGTAGTAATTACAGTATACTTGTCACGATAAAGTAGTTATTTCCTTAATGCTACAAACAAGTAATTTACAAATCCGTGAAGTAAAATATTTAAACCTAACTGGCATTTCATTAACCCTTCAAGTGCACTACGTCATATTCAGATATTATTTACGTTCTCATATTCAAACATATTAAACCATGCAGTTTTGCTAAAACAGAAAAAGGCAGAAGAAAGAAAACATGCAACAGATACTAATATTTAGCAGCAGACGACAATAAGAATAGGGTAGTATCAAGGAAAAATTATGTAAGAAATAAAAATGATACAAAATAATTTCTGGATATATACTTAAATCCACAAAGTATAACAAAAATATACCTTTTGATACGCGCTTTATCCATGTAATACTCTTTTATGATAAGTTTACATATTTAGATAATAAATATGATTAAAAATTAATGAAAATCAACTATCAACCAGCTAGTAAGTTATGGTTAATTTAAAATGTATGTGTTATAAACAATACAACAAAGTAAATACTTGTTTGCTATAAGAATGTTTCATATGTACATTTTTAAAGTTTGGTACAAAAGAGAAAATGGGATAAGCATTGTTATCACTCAATCATTAATCTAGTTTAAACTATGCAAACTATATCTAAACGTTTAGCATTAGATTGTTTTGGTTCGTATGATTGGAAAAAGGTATAATATAAAATATTCCACTATTATAGCTTAAACAGTGCCCATAAACAGCTTTCATTGACAAGTACCACTAATCGCCCAAAAAGTCGCCAAAATGAAAATGCTGCGGGCATGCTTTTATCGAGACTTACATGAACGGTAATGGTGGGTGCAAGCTACTAGCACCCCCGACACCGTCTTTAGCAAATTTCGTCATTTATTTATGGAGCCATTGTTAAAAGAAATTATTACAAATAGCATATACTTACGGTCTGTAGTCAACTGACATTGAAGACAATTTAAGTAAATACTAAGCACTACAAAACAATCCATCCAAAACATCCTATTTTTCCACATTTTTACTGATTATTTTATCCAGAAATCCGACCACAGAAACAACTTATATGTGTTACAACTAGAGCCTATATAAAAGCCACAAATAGGTTAGGTTGTATATATTTCATCTGGAGAAACAACATATTGAATGTAAGGTAGAATTATAAATAACGGAGAAATTCAAAGGAGTAGATACGAGGTTTAATGTAGTAGATGTTTAGTGAATATTTTGATAACTTATGCTTTCGTTAAAAAATAAATTCAATTTATCGGCACTGCATTAATTCTTTATACATGTATCATTTACAAAGTAAAATAAGCTAGTATGCTACATTTGAATTGTTTATGAAGTTTATTTATACATGTATCATTTATAAAGTGAGATAAGCTAGTATGTTAAATATAAATTGTTTATTAAGTTTATTTATACATGTATCATTTATAAAGTATGATAAGCTAGTATGCTACATATGAATTATTGATAAAGTTTATTTATATATGTATCATTTATAAAGTAAGATAAGCTTGTATGCTACATATAAATTGTTTATAAAGTTTATTTATATATGTATCATTTATAAAGTAAGATAAGCTAGTGTGCTACATATCAATTATTTATAAAGTTTATTTATATATGTATCATTTATAAAGTAAGATAAGCAAGTATGCTACATATAAATTATTTATAAAGTTTATTTATACATGTATCATTTATAAAGTAAGATAAGCTAGTATGCTACATATAAATTGTTTATAAAGTTTGATAAGCGAATATTCTATGCATGTATCTTAAATTAAGTAAGATTAACGAGTTTTATTTTATGTATGTCTCATTTATAAAGTAAGATAAGTGAGTATTTTACACAAATGTCATAAATTAAGTATGATAAAATCGTTTTTCATGCAATTATCATAGGAGAAGAAGAACTTTTTTGTACTACTAAAGCCCTGCGAAGTGCATTTGACAAAGCATCAATTATACAAGCTATATCAAGATACAAGCGCAGAAACATGACAATATGTGACAATATATGATATATTGATTGAGATAAGCGGGTTTTTATACATATAAACCCATATTAAGTAAGATTATCGGGTATTATATATAAGTGTAATTTATTAATTAAGATTATATAAGAAAAGTGAGTATGCAGTAAGTTAAAGGGTATAAATGATATATGTTATGAAATACTTTTTATAAAATTTATCATAGTAAAATTATATTGGTTCCATAATCGTATGGTATATTCACGAAAGAGTTGTAACATAGAATGGTAGTGTTATTTAACACATATGAAAATTGTAGGTAGTTCTGGAACCTCCTATTAAAATAAAGTTATATTTGTTTAGCTTTAAGGCAATTTTCTATCATATTTACTTCATACAAGCATTTTGGAAGCATTATATTTACAATTTTATGTGATAAAGACAAACATAAATAACTCACACTTATACCCCGGTCACATATTCACGGAATACGCCCACGGAAGAGCCACGGATTAATTCCGGCATCGTCCGTAGCTACCCGTACTGGTCAGTAGCTCTCCGTATTGTAACCGTAATCAATCGTAGTAGTCCTTGTATATCCGTAGCAATCCTTGACAATTTTTGAACATGCACAAAAATTTGCTACGGAAAAATCAACCGTAGCGTATCCCTACTAGTCCGTATTAATCCGTACTGATACGTACTGGTCCGTACGAAAACCGTAATAGTCCGTACTGATTCGTAGTCCACCAACTTGTCAAGGATTTCCACGGTTTGGTACGGAGAACTGCGTATTTGTACGGTTTCCCTACGTACAAGCCACGGTTTTAATACGGATTAATACGGCATTGTCACGGAAAGCCACGATCGTAATACGTTGTACTACGGAGAGGCAAGGATTAGCACGGTCTTATACGGTTTATTGCGTTGCAACACGAAACGGTACGGAATGGTACGGCCCACCACTGTTTAGTACGGATGAATTAAGTATCATGTACTTTTTCAAGGGTATAAATACTACCTTCTTGTTAAAAACAGACATATACATTTGCAGGAACATTTAGTAAATTATAATTGCCATTTACTGGCTGCAACTTTATATTGAAATGGCTCAGAATGCGGAGGCAGTGGTCGAGCTGCTTGATGACATGCATGGAAGTAAATTTATATTAATATCGTACTTCAATTCATAAGAAATAGAATAACATTTAATGTTACATATTTTACAAACATTAGATCGTGAAAATGGAGTAAATATGTACATAAAACGAAGTGTCTCATAAGCCTCGGACACTGGCCCTTGAGTGATAATAAGATAAATTAACAAGCTTTTTACATATTTCTAAAACATAAACATCACAATAATTAATGTAATTGTAAGATGAACAGCAAATCTTAAAATTAAAAGAGAAGCAGTATTGATCAACATTTTTCATTAATGATTACTAGTCCATATCTAATCAGGTAAGAGAAGACAGACTATTTGGTGGACTAGAGATGGGCTTTTACGAAGACCGCTTCATGTTTAGTATGAGGCTCTCATGGCCGAACTTGTTGAGGATCCAGCGTTCTTCAAGAAATTCACTTTAATTAGACCTGATGTGTATCGGGGTTCGGACGCGATTAGGCTGAATCCTCTCCGCCAAAATCATTGAACGCTGTAATTCGTTTTTCTAGGTGTTCTTTTCTTTTGAGGCATTTTGAAAATGAGCAAGCAAGAGGTTGTGGGCGGATGTATTAGGTCCGTATAGATCCGTGGCAATTCGTTCTTCTCCGTATCAATACGTTCTTCTCCGTATCAGTCCGTACTTATTCGTACTAACCCGTGCTTATACCGTAGCAGACCGTAGTGTATCCGTAGCGCGTCCGTCCTGATTCGTGTCGCTCCGTATCGAACCGTGCCGGTCCGTAACAATCCGTGTCGCTCCGGGGGCTTTTAATGGTAAATCCGTCGGACTCCGTACACATACCGTTGTAATTCCGTACTTGAACCGTAGCGGACTACGGAATTTTACATTTCCGTAGTAATCCGTGAACGATTAGACCGTAGCTCTTCCGTGGCATTATCCGTGAATATGTGACCGGGGCATTAGAGAAAAAAGATAAAGATAAAAACATAAATAAGATTGATTGATTTCACTGGAATATTCATATTTTGAATTTAATGCATTTCATATTGTAGACATTCTTACTATTTTTGATTACACTTTATCAACAACAACAGCACAAAAACAAAAACAACAACAACAACAACAACAACAACAACAACAACAGCAGCAGCAGCAGAAGCAGAAGCAGCAGCAGCAGCAACAACAACAACAACAACAGCAGCAGAAGCAGCAGCAACAAAAACAACAACAACGACGACAACGACGACGACGACGACGGTAACAACAACACCAACAGCAAAAACAACAGCAGGTTTTAGGTAACTCATCGTGCTATTATAACTAAACAACTAGGAAGGTGTGTTATCTTTAAAAATACATTCCTATATTACTCAGACAAAATAATCTTGAATTCATGATGCACATCATGTTGTTTTGGATCTCTATCTGTTTTCTCAGATAACAGATATGAATCTGTAGATAATGTTGTTTTACAAAACATAGTTCTAAACTGTTTATTAGCATCATTAATTCGAGAATGATGAACAGTTCTTTGAAGTTACAAAATGATATGTAACGTCTTCTAGATAGTCATAATCCGTTACTAAGTGTTATTAATACATTCTCTATGTACTACGTAATATACATGTATTGTAAAGGGATATCACCATTAAAGAATATGTCTGGTCGTCCAAGCACTACATAAAATAAAGTAATAAGGTGTTCTGCTCATAAAAGCCAGGAATGGAATATGAGCAGACAATATCGTAATTCTTTTTTATGTACTTTATTTTGTATAACTTGAAATAAACTTGCATTAAATTTTATTCAATAAAAGTACCTTAATCTACATCTTTTATGTTTCATTATTAACAACAAACACTTGAAATGATGTAATATATGGTTTATAAAATTGTGTAAATACCAGTTTAAAAGAACAAATAATGCATTTTTCTTTTCTAAAGGTAGCCATATCAAATAGAGGATATCGGATTAGTATAAGTTCAATGCTGAATTTATCGAACGAGTTGAAATAAAAAATATATTATGCGAGCTCTGGCGAGCAAGATATTATCTTTTTCAACGAGTTCAATAAATTCAATAATGGACTAAGACGAATTCAATGAAACAATAAAAAGAGAATACGCATTAATAATGTAAAGTTTGACAAATTGATCTGGCTAAAATAAAATATCATTATATCATAGAGGTTTCTACATAATTGAGCAGAGCTGCAATAATTTCACTCTGACTAAAATAGTTAGTAACACATTCTTTCTTTTTAAAATTGTATTACAATTAGTTATAAGAATACGTTAAATGGTATTTAAACATAATTAATTAGCTGTAAAATTTCATTTAAATAAAACTACATCTTTGATGTAGTACAATGCAAATTATTTGCTGTGTATGCTAATGATTTCTAACTATTATTTTGTGTTCATATATTCTTGAAGCAGGGGATGCAATAAACACGGTCTCTGAATCCTTACACACAAAATACCTTAAATGAACGTGCCCATCTTTCAATCGGGTAAAATTCATTAACCACTGTTAGAGAAATGTTCAATATAAGTACTGATTGAATAGCGAGAAGTTCACAGCATGACCAGACGGCTTACATGTAGTTACACTGGCTGATCATGGTCTGTAGTGGTTGAATAAGCAGAATAAGTTTTCGTCAGTAAGATAAAGGTTAGTATTTTTCATAAAAGTTTGCAAACAACATTTATAGACAGACATTCAGTGGTCTTGGCAATTTAACATGAATAACAAACGTAAAATTTGTTGAGTCAGCAAATTATTAAACATATGATATAGTGGGGTGTTTTGTTTTAGAGATCAAAATGATGTTTCCATCTATTATCACTTGTCATAAAGATAATTATCTGAGACAGTAACTTGATTATGAAAGCATTTTAACTCATCGTTTTACACCGTGTAAATATTAGCACATTTGTACTGAAATACATGTTAATTAATTTGAAATAAATGTGTGTATGATAATAATAGTTATACTTGTGTTTTGTAACCCATTCTCTCACTTTAAGAATAGATACAT